GTATTTTCAAACGTTGTGAGATCTTCATCATTCTGTTAGAGCTCAGAGTATGTGTTGGGGATGACTCTCAGCTACTACCACACCTAATTTCAGCTTAATATCCATAAAACTGACTGAGGTGTAGCCAGTTTCTGATGGTTATGCTCAGGTAGCTGTGACAGCCATCTTGAATCAGGCTGACTTTAATAGTTTACCTGTTGTAGACATTCATTAAATTATCAGGAGTAATTAAAGTGATTAACGACATATTTTGCTAACACACATTGTTGACTTTTCCTTTTGAAACAAAGTGAGGTACCTACTGGATTTTAATGGGACTTTCAGGATGAAAGCGTCAGGAATTCATTGGTTCCATTTTTTATGATTTGGATGAAATTATATTAAATTTAAGCAGAGTAGACAGTTTTTTGTTTTTAGTGTGAAGAAAGATGCTGCGAAAGGCCATTTTGTGTAATTAGTTTAATATATTAATCCTAATCTGTGTGAGTTTGTGATGATTGATGATAAATTATCCTGCACACTAAGCATAAACGATAATTATAATAAAAGTCTTAACCTTTGTATCCTAATTTAATCGGTTCTGATTGCACGACAACCTTCGATCCGATCCACACATGCTAGCATGTGCAGCCTCCATATTTCCTTCTGTAAGCGCAGCGTGTTGTGAGTGGCGTCACGTCTTCTTCTGTGGGTCACTTCAGAACCGTGGACTGATCACCCTGGAGTCTGATGGAGGTCTAAATTATGAGTATGACCAGATTATCAGATCTGAGCTTTAAAGGGATCTCCGACTAGCTGGAACAATAATTTGATGAACTTAGCTATGAAAACATGACCGTAAAAATACTGTAGGCTGTTTAGTTTTTAAGAATGTAAAACAAAATTAATGAAACACGAACATCACCATTTTATTTACACAGCATTCTGGATGAATGATGTAGACAGGTGATCCAGTGTGAGCTCCATTCAGTTTACATGTTAATTTAGGACATTATCTGATGTTTAGCCCTTTAATTTGAACTGGAGCTCGTTGACAGAGGAGAATGAAATGACTCAGCTTTCACGTTAGCTACAGAGCTAATATATGACATTAGCGCCAGAGCTAACCTAAATTTGACGGTAGCTCCAAAGCTAATTTATATAATCATCTGATAATGTCAATAGAAATATCAAAGTAAATATGTTCTTGATTTTAATATTTTACCTTGTTTTATATAGCATCTTGATTTGACTGTGTATATAACATATTTTATTTGATTTTAATTGTTTTTTGTTGAATTATTGTTGTCGGTATGTCATTTGTCAAAGAAAGGTATTTCTTGTAAATGAGTAAATGAGTCCTTGTGACTCAATGAGACTAACTTGTATAAATAAAGGTTGAATAAATGAATACATCTGGCATTAGCTCCAGAGCTAATTTGTGGCGCTAGCTCCAGAGGTAATAGTTAGCTCTGGAGCTAATAGAGTTAGCTCCAGAGCTAATATATGACATTAGCGCCAGAGCTAGCCTAGATGTGATGGTAGCTACAGAGCTAATTTATATATAGGCCTATGGCGTTAGCTCTGGAGCTAAATGCATAATTAGCTTCGAAGCTAAATGCATTAGCTCCAGAGCTAATAAATTAAACATCACAAGTTGATCATATTTGATTGTTTTGACCCATAGGTCTATATTGTGTAAAATAACTATAACTTTATTGTCACATTATAACTTTTTAGCCTTGACTTCATATATTTTAATCTCCACTACAACAGATGTAAAAAATATAAAATCTGCTCTCCCTGCTGGACCCTCATGCCCAAGCAGACAGTACCCTGAGACCTGAACCCGACCAAAGACCTGAACGGGTGAAGGAAGACCTTCAACCTGCATGAAGAAGAAGACTACTGAGCTCTTTATCTGCTGAAGGTGAACACATGTGTTTGTTTATCAGCAGTGTTAGCAAAATATCTGATGGACCTCTAGACAAGTTTTAAAGCTTCTCATACAAAGTCACGAAGACATTTTTTTTCTCGTGTTAATAGTTAAACAGTCTTTAGATAAAATTGTGTGACTGCACCTACAGAAACAGGTATACATATATATATATATATATATAAATCAAACTCCGTCATGGCCGCAGTTGTCACCGACAGAATGCGTCTGTGCAGCCACGGGGTGGAGGGAGTTCTGCTGTTTGCAGACGATGTGATCCTGTTGGCGTCATTGTGCCGTGATCTCCAGAACTCACTGGAGAGCGGCTTTGGATGTTATCAGCCCATTAAATGGCTGTTGTTAGTTGTTATCATCCCCATATGTAGTGGTGAGACTGTCCCACCTACCTCCTAGTAGGTTTAAAGGTACGTTATTATCGTTATTATTGCTGATAATAGGCAGCATCGCACAGGGATAAACCAGGAAGTGTCTTTTTTGTTGTTTTCAGCTTATGTAACCCTTTTCCTAAGCGTAAGCTTACACGAGACCCAGAGAACCAACCCTAAACTTAACCCCCTTACCCTTGTGCCTAAACCTAACCAAGACCCTAAACTTAACCGTCGGATCTTTTACTCTAAACCTAACCACATGAAGCTATTATGAGCGCTAACAAAGCTAAAAACAGAGCCTATTATCATCATTAACAACGCTAACAACATACCTTTAAACCCACTAGGAGGTACAGGAGGGGCAGTCTGACCGCTACATATGGGGATGATGACAACTAATAACAACCATTTAATGACTGATAACATTTGAAGCGGGTGCACTGGAGCGGTTCACAGGATGAGGATCAGAACCTCCAGATCTGAGACCCTGATCCTGAATCAGAAGGTGGACTGTCCTTTGAGGTTCTACCTCAAGTGGAGGAGGTCAAGTATCTCTTGTTTTGTTCTCAGTGAGGGAAGAATGGAGCGAGAGATCTACAGACGGATCGGTGCAGCAGTATTGTGGACTTTGTGCCGGTCCATTGTGGTGAAGAGGGAGCTGAGCTGTAAGGTGAAGCTCTCTGTTTACCAGTTGGTCTACGTTCCTACCCTCAGGTCCTAAACTCTATAGAGACTGAAAGAACCAGATCCTGGATCCAGGAGGTCTGAATGAGTTCTCTCTGCAGGGTAGCTGGACTCTAGATGTCAGGTGAGAAATTCAGTTCTCCAGGAGCGACTTGGAGTAGAACTGCTGCTTCTCCACATCCAGAGGAGACAGTTGAGGAGGTTCATCTGTTAAGGATGGACCCTGGACGCCTCCATAGGGAGGTGCTCTGGACATGTCCAGCTAAGAAGAGACCCCAGGAAAGACCCAGAACACTAGAGAGACTAGTCTCTCAGCTGGTCTGGGAACATTTTAGAGTCCTCCATAAGTGCTAGAAGAGAGGTCTGAGGTCTGGACCTCTCCAATCAGGCTACTGACCCAGAGACCCGAGTCCAGGACCAAATGATGGATGGACGGAGCAAAGAGCTGGTGTGGTAGTAGGTGAGAGTTATCCTAAACACACATTTTGAAGCTGTGGCATCATGAATTGAACTGAAAGGCGGCGGGCGATATGCATTCCATCAGGGAATACCAGAGCTGTCAGACTGTTGTTGTCTCACACACTGTTTGGAGAAATGTCCCACACAACAGACGTGTCCCTGAACGTGACACCAACAGTCTGAGCGCCATCTGAACGCCGCCTGCCATCCAAGTCGGCCTCATGGTGCCGGTTTGAGTTCTGGCACGTGGGAAACCCAGAACTCTTCATATTTACAAACACAGACTGGAGCTTCCCGACATCATCGCTTGATGACAAAACGGAGCAGCCGAAACCTGGACCAAACAGAAGCTGCCGAGTTCCCTGCAGATCGCTCGCCGCCTTTTACACCAGAGCTCTGATGTGATCATGAGCTCAGAGTACGTACTGGAACTGACTCTCAGCTACTACCACACCAGAAGGGCCATGTGTGGTCATCAGGCTGACTGACACAGGGGACTCAACAGCATCTGATGGTAGCTGAGAGTTGTCTGAAACATCTCCTCTGAGCTCTGACACAACTTCAGTCAAAACCTTTTCATGCACGGCAGTGGGTGATAGGCATTCACGCTTTGTTCTACAGCAACATGAAGAACGAAACGGAGAAAATTAAAGTTTTTAAAAACAAAAGACGCTCAGGGTGTTTGGAATTACATTTTCATTCACAAACGGATTTGATGAGAAGATGTTTGAAACTGAAAACGTTCTGCAGAGAAAACAAACAAACAAACAAACAAACAATCCACACAGAAATCATTAAGTTGTTTTTAGATTTGATCATAAAATCATCTTCCATCAGCTGAGCTCAACCTGATGATCCGGGCAGAACCTGCTCCACTGATCCACCTGCGCGCGGGCAGGTTCTGTCTCTGCCTGCTTGGATCAAAGGAGCCGAACGGGAAGAAAGACACGGTCGCCCGTCTGAAACCTGAGGAAACCCGCCGCGGATTCGACAGAACGGGTCGTGTGGAGGGACTGCAGAGAACATAAATAACCCTCAGAGAACACGCTGTGACCAGAACCCGAACCGAACCCGAACTGGTTCTACCACCTGCTCTGTCCGCAGCGGCAGGCGGTCAGGGAAATCTGGAGATCAGGAAAATATTTACTGCGAAAACATTTGGATTTATTACAGATGCAGCCGTGTGAAGGTGCCGCCGCCGCACGTGGAAAAGGGCGGGTTTGGCGCACGGGGAGCCGCCTGTGAGAACCCGCTTCTCCTTCACACACGCGCGCCGGCGCGCGCACACACAAATAAATACATCTGAATTTAAAAGCATGTCTTGGAGCTCATATCTCCCGCAACCTTTGTGCGCGCGGAGCGCGTCAGGTGCGCGCTACCCGCAGTGATGCTGAGCCAATGCAGCGGCAACACACGCCCCTCCACGCGCGCGCGCTCACACACAAACACACACAGGTCTGAATGCCTGTCAGCCCCTCCTGGATGTTCAGTCCTGCAGCCGTGAGGGGGGGGGGGGGGCACATGTGATGTGAATGACTAAGAGCTCTACTCACGCACAGCCTCCTTTTTGGGGTCCAGGGCCCCGGCGGTCTGCTGGATCTGGACCGTCCTGGTCTGGAGGACCCACACGCGCTGGCTCGTGCTCAGGATTTCGTGCTCCAGCTCCTGGAACAGGGAGCAGGCGTGCCGGGCCAGCTCGGACAGCTGCCGCAGGGTCCGGGACAGAACCCCGTTACTGATGGCGCACAGGTCCTCGAACAGCAGACCCTCCTCGTTCGGGATCTGGACTCTGCACAGGAGCTGCGGCTCCACGACCCGCTTGGAGAAAGGCATTGTGGGAAGCAGCCCCGCTGCCGAGAAGGAGAAGGTTCAGGAGGAGAGACAACATCCGAACCGGGTCGGTCCACAAGGAGCCCGACCAGGTTCGGGCCGTCTGCGCGTGATCCCCCCCTGCCCCCTCTCCCCCCCTCCCCCGGGCGTCAATCCAAAGTTTCCCGCAGGTTCTCCTTCAGATCCTCCATCCTGCTGCTTCTGGGGATCTCTCACACTCCCTGCTCACGCGCACGCGCGCACACATGCAGGACGCGGCGGAGCCCGGGTCAGCGGCGCGAGGATGCGTGCGGAGTCTGGGCTGCCTCAGTGTGGCATCAATTGCGCGGAACCACCCGGAAGTGACGCGCACGCGCTTCAGAATTAAACCGCACACAACAAAACAGAAGGAGACGCACGATCTGACAAACAGCTGAACATAAATAGCTGCTAAAGGAACGCTTTATAAACCCGGCCTCAGCTCACCTGCTGGGTTTGGAAAACGCAGTCGGAAAACCTTCAGCTTTTATTTTGTAGTCCCTCTCTTGAACTTCCGGTGGTTCTGTGGGTTTTTCTCCGGGTCTTGATGCAGGATGGATCATCCTGAGAGGCTGAGGGAAAACCCGGAGACAAGAGACCAGAAGATCCGACACTTTCAACATTTGTCTTTAAAACGAAAGTGTTCAAAAATAAAACTGCTTCATCAAACTTCTAAAATCAGGAAGCAGACAAATAAAAATCTATTTTCTGTGATGCAATTTGCTGAAGATGAAACTAAGTTGTTACATTTAAAAGAAGCAGAACATCAGCTTAAAAAAGCAGAAACCTCAAAGCAAAAGAATATAGCCAAAAGCTTAAATTAGCATAAAAAAGACAAAAACTGAGTCATAGCTGAAACAGGTTCCTGAAAGAAGAAATGTCATTTAAAAGTTTGTCAATAAAATAAAATGTTCTGGAAAATATAAAAGTTACAAAAACGACAAGTCTCAAACAAGCCGAATGTTTTGATGAATGAACAGCTAAAATAGTCCAAAGTCAGCTGTAAATACATTACAGGAAAATAAAAACAGTGAGTTGGATCATCACAAACTTGACCCGGCAGGGAGAAGTTCTGGCCACCACACCTGTATAATAATAAATAAATCAATATAAACTTTATTGTTGTGCAGAATTGTACAGTGCACCAGGTAAAATTAAATTAAATTTGATTTCATTTTTCCACAGCAGTGTAGGAGTATAGTTTATATATGAATTTGATAGATTTTGGTGTTTAGGAATGGCTGTGTGTGTTCTGTGTGTGTGTGTGTTTGCTATTGTGGTCACATAGTGACCTTAGTTCAGCAGTCTAACAGCTCGTGGGATGAAACTGTTGCAGAACCTGGTGGTTCTGGTCTTCAGGCTGCACTACTTCCTGCCAAAGGTGAACAGAGTAAACAGTCCATATTGTGGGTGTGAGTGCTTGGACCAGTACTCTTTACCATGTAAATGCTTCCATTAGGTAAAGTTATTAAACAGCATGGGATAAATTTTCATTATGCTGATGATACAGTTATATTTGTCCATGAAACCCAATGAGTCCAATCAGTTACTTAGACTACACAAGCATGTCTTAAAGACATACAAACCTGAATGACCCTAAATTTTCTGCTTTTGAACACAGACAAGACTGAGGTTTTGGTTTTTGGACCTGAGCATCTTAGGAATAAATGTTTCAGCTTTTCTCCCTCCTTAGATGGCATTAATCTGTCCTCCAGCTCTAATGTTAAAAATCTTGGTCTTATTTTTTATCAGGACATGTCTTTTATCCCCAACATTAAAAATGTTACTAGAACCACCTGCACCTGCGTAATATCGTTAAAATTAGAAACATCTTATCTAAAAATGATGCAGAAAAACTGGTCCATGTATTTGTCACGTCTAGACTGAACTGTTACAATGGTTTATTATCTGGGTGTCCAAATACTTGTTTAAAATGTCTTCAGTTGATCCAAAATGCTGCTGCCAGAGTCTTAACTGGAGTTAGTGGGAGAGATCATATCTCTCCAGTTTTAGCTTCTCTCCATTGGCTCCCTGTCAAATCCAGAATAGAATTCAAAATCTTACTTCTACAAAGCTCTCAACAACCTAGATCCATCTTATATTTGAAATCTTATTGTTCCTTATTTTCCTAATATCTTAAAATGAATTGTTACAATTGAATAGATTGCATTTGATATTATTTCTGTCTTAACATGTGGTTCTTCACCTGCCATTGTGTATCTGTTCCTCTCAAACCCATTAGGTCAAAGCAGATGGCAGATTGTCCTGAGCCTGGTTCTGCTAAAGGTTTCTTCCTCATGCGCAAGTTTTTCCTTTCCACTGTCGCCTTCATGCTTGCTCAGGATGAGAGTTCTGTGACAAAGGTAAACTCCAAGCAGTCTGCTCCTCAGATAAATAGTGTTCTTATTTTTATAGATGAATGTTTCTGTTCAGTGCCCTGAGATGTTGTGACTTGGCGCTATATAAATAAACTGAAGTGAAATGAGTTGTCGCCTTTGATTTTATTTGCTCTGTTCAGACACCGTCTGAGACCAGTGTGCTGGATGGAGGGGAGAAGTGTCTTGATGATCTTCTCCATCGTTCTCTCCACCCTCCTCAAATCCTTCCAGTCTGCAGCCGGGCAGTTTCCTTCCCAAACTGAGCTGCAGCTGGTCATGATGCTCTCGATGGTTCCTCTGTAGGATGTGGTGAGGACATGGGGTGGGAGGTGTACACCTCGTGCTCTCTTCAGCCTACGGCGGAAGTGCAGACGCTGCCGGTCTTTCTTCACTAGGGACCCAGTGTTTCTTGACCAAGACAGCTGATTGGTTATGTGCACCCCCAGGAACCTGGAGCTCTCCACCACCTCCACCTCTGTGTTGTTAATGAGCAGCGGTGTGTGATGTTGTTTTGTTTTCCTGAAGTCAATAATGAGCTCTTTTGTTTTGTTGACATTCAGAACCAGGTTATTTTCCCCACACCAGTTCACAAGGTGTGCCACCTCTTCCCAGTATGCCTGATCCTTGTTGTTGCTATTCAGGCCCATGAACGTGGTATCATCTGCATACGTGATGATGTGGTTGGCTCAGACCTGGCAACGCAGTCCTAGGTCATCAGGGTAAAGAGAAGCGGACTCAGAACACAGTCTTGGGGGGGAGCCCGTGCTCAGACTGATAAGGTTATGATGTTGATGATCATGTACACCTCATCATGATGATGTTGATGAGATGTTCCTTCCCACTCGTACTGACCTTGGTCTGTCAGAGAGGATGTCAAGGATCCAGTTCCTGAAGGTGGTGATGAAGCCTAGTGCAGCCAGTTTGCTGACCAGTTGCTGTGGGATGATTGTGCTGAATGCTGAGCTGAAGTCCACAAACAGCATGGGTGTTTTTCTCCTCCAGGTGTAGGTGGAGTGCTGAGGCGATGGCATCCTCTGTTGAGTAGTTGGAGCGGTAAGCAAACTGGAATGGGTCAAAGGAGGGTGTAAGATTAGAGGTGATGTGTTGCTTAACAAGATATTCAAAGCACTCCATCATGATGGGCGTATGAGCCACGGGGTGATAGTCATTTAGGGCTATTGTTTGTTTTTTAGGCACTGGTATGACTGTGGCTGCCTTGAAGCAGGAGGGAACGATGGCTTGCTTCAGGGAATTGTTAAAAATGTCTGTCAGCACAGGGGCAAGCTGGTCTGCACATACTCTTCCTGGTATGTTGTCAGGTCTTGCTGCTTTCATGGTGTTTATGTTTTTCAGTGCCCTGCAGACCTCCACTGTGTCGAGGCTTGTGACTCGTCAGGTGGTGGGGTTTCTTTCATTGCTGGGGAGTTGTTTTGTGCCTCAAACCTGCCAAAATATTTGTTAAGTTCGTTCGGGAACTCTGTTGTCATTGTTCATTGCAAGGCATGTTGTTGTCATTAGAGATTGTCTGGATGCCTTGCCACATGCTCCAGGTGTTGGCTGAATCATGGAAAAAGCTCTGCACCTTCATAGCGTAGGCACATTTTGTTTTTTTATGGCATGGTTTAGCTTGGCTCTGGTTATGCTGAGAGCAGTGTGGTTGCCAGACTTGAACGTGGTGTTCCATGCGTTCAGCATGACCCATACCTCCCCGGTCATCCATGGTTTGCAGATGGCCCGGGATGTGAAAGCTCTTATGGTACTGACATCTTCCATGCACTTCTGGATGTATCCAGTCACGGACGTTGCATCTTCAGTCAAACATACGTTCTGATTGTGTGTTGCTGCCATATAGCCGCTTTAATGTGTGTGAGTGGAGGTTCTGTCAGGTGACTTTGTGCTAAACTAAAATCATAGTTTTATAAAAATCAAACGTCTTTGTGCTGTGAAAGGGATTAAAACTCAACCTGTGAGAAGGGATCCCCCAAGGCTGTGTGCTTGGTCCGCCTTCGTTCATCCTCCAGCTACCGCTGCACCCCCTCTTAGAGTAACATGCCCTTCGTCAAGTTCTCTGTTGACACAACTGTCACCGGGCTGGCCGCTGCTGGAAAACAGACTGCCTACAGGGACGAGGGCTCAGCTGGAGTCCTGGTGCCAGGAAAACAACCTCTCCTTAAAGTCTGAGGAGACTAAGGAGATGACTGTTGACCTGAGGAAGAGGAGAGACCTGAACACCTCATTACTCATCATTAGGGTGCAAGTGGAGAGGGTGCAAGCCTTAAGACTCCTCAGCACCCACATCAGTGAGGATCTCACGTGGACCCACAACAAGCACCAGATCCTCAAGAAGGATCAGCAGAGACGCTTCAGCCTGAGGAAGTTGAGGAAACACAGATTAATCCTGCAGCTGTTTGGGGAATTGAATCATCTTAATCTTCATCATCTGAGCTCACATATGAGCTGAACTGCATGAGCGTCGAGCTCGGCGTCCCCGACGTGACCTCAGTGTCGTCGACATGACCTTGGAGTCCCTGAATTTACCTCAGGGTCCTCAACGTTACCTCAGTGTCCCTGACATGACCTCAGGACCCTCACCATGACCTCAGTGTCCTCGATGTGACCTCATTCCTGGTCTTTCTGCTGAATGTGTGTTTCCAGGATACTAAGCCTGGTCATTGTTTGTTTGAAGCCCAGTGATTAGCCAGTGCCCAGCAGGCTCAGTGTATGTTCTGATTGTCTAAAGGAAACTTGCAGCTGCAGCAGATTTTCATCAGAGCAGAGAAACAGTATCTGTGGGGCCAAAGGGCCACAAGGGACCCAAATAAAATCCAGGAAGCAATCCGGTCTAAAAGGATCCTTCACTCTTCGTTTATGTCTGGAAAACATTTCAATATTTATCATAAATGTGTGGCCAAAAAAACAAATTTGAACTTGTAAAGATCATGTATGGAGATAATTAAAAAAATTTAATTTTGTTTTGTTTCTGTAAAACTGTTTCTGTTTCTCCACTCTGCTCCATTCAAACTAATCCCAGGAGGTGCAGAAAATACAATCCTGTGGGAGGAAAACGCAATAATCTGGGTCATCTTTCTGAGTTTGTTTAGTTGTATTTTTCCATCTTCTGCTGCTCTAAAAGTTTGTTTTTGTTCTTTTCACGGCTGCAGTTCCACTTCTGTCCACTGTAGGTTTTTACCATACCATACCATTTTATTTATAGAGTTTTTAGTTTTATCTTTTTGTTGATAGTAAATAAACAACTTTTAAACTGTGCCACACAGTAAGTTTTAATGAAAGAGAGTGGTTTTTATTGCAGTTGATTTTTGTTGCAGCATTTGTTTTGATCAAGTTTGTTTTGTTGCAGAAACATTATGAGTATTAGATAAGCACCTTGAATCATAAATGGTGATATTAACGTTTATGACTGATTATTTATCAGGATTTTGAATCCAGGACTTGCTGTTTTTATCGGCACAGATTGGAAATCCTCCACTGCCTGATACAAAATGTTGGAGGAACAAGTTTGTTTCCTCATTTCCTCACTTTTTTTCCTGAAATTATTATTTTTTTTTATCAAGAAAATCCATTAACAAGAGATTTAAATGCCTTTTAAACTGAGGAAATAAAATAAACTTTTATTTATCTCTCAGCGGACACATTGACTTCGCAGCAAAAAAGACTTGAGACTTTTAGAGTAACATCTCAGCTGATTAATCATTATTGTTTCATCTAATAAAAGAGTTTTAAATGTTAAAATAATGCTTTTAATTCATTTCATGCAAACAATTTGCCTGCTCGCCTCCTCATCTTCTCCTCCAAATTAAAGGTGTTAAGTTGCCGCCTCATGTTTTAAAGTTTTAAACAAATCTCATGTGTCCTCACATGAGCTGAAGATGACTCTCAGCTACCACCCGCCCAACATTTAGCTGAGTGTCAGTCCGGCTGAGTTTTGGCCACGTCATCAGCGCTTCATGGTCTGGCGGGTGATCGTGTATAAGGGTGCGGTCCTCCCTCAGTTATGGCTCTGCAGTCCAAAGGTCAAGGCGGGGCCGGTCTTAAAACTCTTTCTGTTTACGGCTGAGTCATTCTGAGCCTCAGGATGGGTCCGAACACATCCGTCAGAACCCTCCTGAGCGTCTTGGCCCTGATCTGTTCCTGTCCCGCCGAGGCCGCGGACCTGGAGGCGGAGGCCGCGGACTTCTTGGAGCGGTTCGATCAGAATGCCAGCACACAGATGTACCAGTACTCCCTGGCATCGTGGGCCTACAACACTGACATCAACCAGGAGAACTCAGACCGGCTGGTAGGTTCTGGGTCAGTTCCGGGTCTTTAATCAAACACAGGTGTGAAAGTGATGGTTTTGATGGTTCTGTGTGCAGCTGGAACAGGAAAAAATCTGGGCCGCCTTCTACAGCCGGGCGTCAGAGGAGTCCAGAAAGTACCCCATCCAGCAGATCCAGGACCCGAGCATCAAGGTCCAGCTCCTGTCCTTACAGGACAAAGGTTCTGGAGCTCTGAGCCCGGACAAAGCTGCACATGTGAGTCAAAGCTATTCAGTTCAGTTTATTTATATAGCACTAAGTCACAAACATAAGTCATCTCAGGACACTGAACAGAAACATTCATATATAAAAATTATAATTTAACATTATTTATCTGAGGAGCAGACTGCTTTGAATTTAACTTCATCACATACTCTCATCTTGAGCAAACACGAAGGCGACAGTGGAAAGGAAAAACTCCCTTGTGAGGAAGAAACCTTTAGCAGAGCCAGGTTCAGGACAATCTGCTTCGACCGGCTGGGTTTAAGAGGAGGAACAGATACACAATGGCAGGTCAAGAATCACATGTTAAGATAGAAATAGTATCAAATGAAAACTATTCAATTTTAAAACCATTTAAGGAAATTAGGTAAATTTGTCCTTCAGTAGTCTAAGCCTATGGCAGCACAACAAGCCAACCCTAATTATAGGATTTATCAAAAACGAAAGTCTTAAGCACAGTCTTAAACCTGGACAATGTGTCGGTCCTACGGAAAGAAACTGGAAGTTATTTCCACAAGAGAGGAGCCTGAGAACTGAAAGATCTTCCTCCCATTCTGCTTTTGGAAACTCTAGGAACTGCAAGTAAACCTGCAGTCAATGAGTGAAGTGCTCCGTTAGGAAAATATGGAACAATAAGATCTCAAATATAAGATGGATCTAGGTTGTTGAGAGCTTTGTAGAAGTAAGATTTTGAATTCAATTCTGGACTTGACAGGGAGCCAATGGAGAGAAGCTAAAACTGGAGAGATATGATCTCTCCCACTAACTCCAGTTGAGACTCTGGCAGCAGCATTTTGGATTAAATGAAGACTTTATAAAAAAAAGTATTTGGACACCCAGATAACAAACCATTGCAATAGTCCAGTCTAGACGTGACAAATGCATGAACCAGTTTTTCTGAACAATTTTAGATAAGATGTTTCTAATTTTAGTGATATTACGCAGGTGGAAGAAGGCGGTTCTAGTAATGTTTTTAATGTGGGGGATAAAAGACATGTCCTGATCAAAAATAACACCAAGATTTTTTACATTAGAGCTGGAGGACAGATTAATGCCATCCAAGGAGGGAGAAAGACTGAATGTATAAGATGTTTAGGTCCAAAAACTAAAACCTCAGTCTTGTCTGTGTTCAAAAGCAGAAAATTTAGGGTCAGTGAACTCCGTTCCTCAGCTAAATCAGTGAAACTCTCTAATTTTTAACTCTTTGTCAAGTTTTACTGTTTGTGCGTCATTTTGTTCAATATATTTAATATATTTATACTTTGTTCAACTCTAAACAATTAAAATGCCATTAGTCAAATTAAATAATGTTCATGTTAATTCAGATTGATCTATTTTAAATAAAGCTGCAAATGACAAACTAAACATTTAGCAGCTCATCGACGATCATTAAATCAGGAATTTCTTGATATTTTCTGCCAAATGAATCAGGAAATGTTAAAGTTTATTGAAGTAAATAACTGATCTCAGAGCAGCAGGATCAGCTAAGTAACGTTTCTGTAAGTTAATTATTTAATCAAATCAAGTCAACAATTTAGTTAACAAATCAAAATTACACAGTCTTCATGTGTAAACTTTGTTTTTACTGTGATTCACGTTTAATTTTCACTCTTGTTTCCCTGCAGCTGAACAAGGTGCTGAGTGAGATGAGCACGATCTACAGCACGGCCACTGTTTGTGGACTCGACGACCCGCTGGACTGCCACACTCTGGAGCCGGGTACGATCTGGTCACAGCCAGTTCCAGTGACATCACTTCCTGCTGGCATCACTGTCAAGGTTTAACTTTACCAAAGAGCAGGAAGATAACTTGGATCGTTTCAATCATTAATCTGACAAATATTGCCTCGAAAGTTAAATAGTTACAAACTTTTTGATCTACTTTATTTTTGTTACTGATATGACTTTTTATTATTATTATTATTTGTACTGTATTTTTCGTACTATAAGACGCACTTCAAATCCTTTAATCTTCTCAAAAATTGACAGTGCGCCTTATACTGTTTATTAATTCTGGTTGTGCTTACTGACCTCAAACCGATTTTATGTGGTACATGGCATTCAAAAATCTGTCAAAATGAACTTGTTTTGCTTAATGCACCTTATACTCCGGTGTATGAAAACAGACCCGTTCATTGATATTGTGCCTTATATCCAGTGCGCCTTATAGTCTGAAAAATACGGTAACTTTTAAGGTTTTTTTTAAGTTACAAACATTTTCACCATAGAAATACATTCAAGTCTCTTTAATTCCTTCAGCTACTCATTCTGCTTGGGTCTTTTTTGTCAACTTTTAGCTTTTAGCTAGACTTTAGCTTCTTTTAAATAGGCATTTGCAATGTCTAATGTTAGCGTTTGCTACTTTTAGCTACCATTGTGCTACGTTAGTTACCATTTGACTTGTTTTTATCAAATCTTTGCTGCTTTAGTTAACATTTTATGTTTGGCTGTGAGCTAGCCTTCTGTTATTTGTAGCATCTAGCTATCATTTTACTGCTTGTAGCTTTTAGCTAGCCTTTTGCAACAAAATCTACTTTTGTTTTTAAGCTATAGCTTCTTGCTAATTTTACCTGTTAGCCTGTGTTTAGCCTACTCTAACTTTTAGCTAGTGTTATGCTACCTTTAGCATTTAGCTTGCAGTTTGCTCCTCTCAGCTTTCAGCTAGCGTTTGCTTGTTTTTAGCTTTCAGTTCTTGATGTTTGTTCTTTATTAAGTGTTTTTATTAAATCTCTGCTGGGGTTTTGCATCAAAATGCTGAATTTTAGTTAGTGTTTTTCCACTTAGCCACAGCCGGCTTGGGACCCGAGAGTCCCAGGTTCAATCCCCAGTCACTGCACATCACGTGGCGTCTCTGGGCAGCACGTCTAATCCCCAAAATGTCCCCCGGGCGCTTTCAATAGCTGCCCACTGCACCACCTGGTGGTGGATGGGTTAAATGCAGAGACTAATTTCGCCATTGTATGGAAACATACAGTGCTGACATTGTGATGACATTATTATTATTATTATTATTATTATTTGTTTCTGTGAATATTTTTGATATTTGATGAAAACAGAAGTTTGTCTCTTGACGGTTTCTGCGTTCATCTGCTCCAGGTTTGGAGAACATCATGGCCGAAAGCAGGAACTACTCGGAACGCCTTCACGTGTGGGAGGGCTGGAGGAAAGAGGTGGGGAAGAGGATGAGGCCGCTCTACGAGGACTACGTGGACTTGAAGAATGAAGTCGCCAAACTCAACGGTAAGCAAGACAAGATGGAGGATGTGAGGACTCATAAACCTGCTATCAGGAGCCAGAACTGCTGACTGGACCTGTGAGGCAGGAACACTCACAGCTGATAACATTCTGGTTTTGTTCCATGAAAGTCCTTCTGATAACAGAGCTGGACATTCTCTGCTGTCGTAAAAACGCCTGTGATCTGTTCTCTAGAGGAACGAGACAGAACCAGCTTGGTTTTGCTTCTCTGCAGGGTATGAAGACTATGGAGCCTACTGGAGGTCCAACTACGAGACCATCGAGGAAGACGCTCAGTTCAAGTACACCAGACAGCAGCTGATGGACGACGTTCGCTCCATCTACAAAGAGGTCCATTGATTTGAGGATCAGTTAGAAAATAAACGTCTTGGTTTTCATGGCAGGGAGGTTTTTACACCGTTTGTTGTTTCTCCAGATCTTGCCGTTATATCAGGAGCTGCACGCCTACATGAGAGCCAGACTCACGGAGGTCTACCCAGGCCACATTGATCCAGAGGGTCCTCTGCCGGCCCACCTGCTGGGTACGGACACAGAAGTGTCTTCAGATTGTTGCTGATGTCACTTTTTATTGGAGGCAAACAAATTCAAGATGGCCACCAAAAAATGGATACAACTCAGTCAGTCATTGAGGTGGTAGTAGCTGAGAGTCCTTCTCAACAAGTACTCCAACAGATTATGAGGGACCTTTGATCAAAACAAGGAGGCGGGTTCCTTCAAAGAATGCTAGTTTAAAGCTGCTACTATCCTGAATAAAAATAACTCACTGATATAAATCTGAACCCCTAAGCGACTGCTTGTCGCCCGCCAAATTTCAACAAAGATCTCACACAATCAGTTAACGCTCAGCTTATGAGATGACGGTGACTCTAAGCTACTACCACACTACTTTAACTCAGTACCCATCAAACTTACTAATATAGCCTTTTATTTTGCCCAGATCATTTAGCTGTGGCAGCCATCTTAAATCAAATGGACTTTACAAAACCTACCAATACAACAAGTAGAAGAAAACTTCATAATATTTAAGAAATTAGGCTTCTTCTTTTTTTGGCTTTTCCCTCTTCAGGGGTCTCCACAGCGAGTCATCCTCCTTCATCTCACTCTGTCCTCTGCATTCTCTGTCCTCACTCCAACTAAACTGGTCCATATGACACAATTTAACCTTTTTTGTTGTTATCTCTCTGGATGATTGAGCTTACAACCTTTTTTCTCCTAGCAGCTGCATTCCTAACATCCTTCTACCAATATACCCACTGTCCCTCCTCTGGACATGTCTAAACCACTGTCCCTCCTCTGGACATGTCTAAACCACTGTCCTTCCTCTGGACATGTCCAAACCACTGTCCCTCCTCTGGACATGTTCAAACCATCTCAGTCTGGCCTCTCAATCTCCCAGTTGTTCAACCTGTGCTGTACCTCTGATGATCTCATTCCTAATCTTATCCAGCCTTGTCACTCCTAAGGAGAACCTCAATATCTTCATTTCTGCCACTTCCAGTTATTTCTCCTGTCTTTTTGTCCACATCTCTATCTCCAGACCATACAACATAGCTGGTCTCACAACTGTCTTGTAAACTTTTCCTTTGACCTTTGCTGACACGCTTTTGTCACAAATCACTCCTGAAACTTTTCTGCATCCACTCCATCCTGCCTGGACTCTCTTCTTCACCTCTTTACCACACTCACCATTTTCCTGGACAGTGGACCCCAAGTACTTGAAGTCCTGCACCTTTGTGACCTCTGCTCCTTGTAGTCTCACTGTTCCACCGGCCTCCCTCTCATTCACACACATGTACTCTGTCTTACTACGGCTGACTTTCATTCCTCTTCTTTCAAGTGCATACCTCCACCTCTCCAAGTTCTCTTCCACCTGTTCCCTGTTATCACCACAGATCACAATGTCCTCTGCAAACATTATAGTCTACGGATGATTCCTGCCTGACCTCATCTGTTAGTCCATCACTAGAGCAAACAAGAAGGGGCTCAGAGCCAATCCTTGATGCACTCCCACCTCCACCTTGAAGCTATCTGTCACTCCTATAGCACATCTCATCACTGTCCTGCAGTCATAATACATGTCCTGTGTCAGTCTAACACTTCTCTGCCATTCCAAATTTCCTCATGCAATACCACACCTCCTCCCTCGGCACCCTGTCATTTGCTTTTTCTAAATCCACAAAGACACAATGGAGTTCTTTCTGACCTCTCTGTACTTCTCCATCAGCATCGTCAAAGCAAAGATGGCATCTTTGGTGCAGTTTCTTAGCATGAAACCATACTGCTGCTCACAAATTGTCACCTTTCGTCTAAGTCTAGTTTCCACAACTCTCTCCCAGATCTTCATCGTGTGACTCATCAACTTAATTCCCCTGTAGTTGCTACAACTCTGTACATCACTCTTGTTCTTAAAAATGGGCACCAGCACACTTCTTTTCCATTCCTGAGGCATTTTCTCATCCTCAAATTTGCCATCGACTATTTGAGTCATAAACCTCACTGCCATCTCTCCAAAACATTTCCAAACCTCCACTGGTATGCCATCAGGTCTTCCTGCGTTCCCCTTCTTCATTCTTTTCAGAGCTTTCTGGACTTAACCCTCACTAATCTTTCCCACTTCCTGGTCTACAGTTTATATGACTCTACTCTTCTTTCATTCTATTAATTCACTAGCTCCTCAAAGTACTCCTTCCATCTTCCCGTCACACTCTTCTCACTTGTTAGAACATTACCATCCCTATCTTTAACAAGCCTAACCTGCTGCACATCCTTTCCAGCCTGATCCCTATGTCTTGCCAATTGGTACTTCCTTCTCGCTCTCTTTAGTGTCCAGCCTCCCATACAACTCATCATACACCTTCTTCTTTGCCTTTGCCATCTCCCTCTTTGTTCTACATTGTGTCTTCTTATATTCCTGTCTCTTCTGTCCTCTCACTGTCATATTTCTTCTTGGCTAACCTCTTTCTTTGAACAGCTTCCTGCACTTCACTCTTCCACCACCAGGTTTCTTTATCATCCATTCTCTGTCCAGATGACACACCAAGTACCTTCCTACCTGTCTCTTTAATTACTGTTGCTGTAGTAGTCCAGTCATCTGGAAGCTCTTTATTACCACCCAGAGCCTTTAACAGCTCCTCTCTGATTTTTTTTTCACAGCAAATTTTCTTCCTTCTTCATCTTCCACCATTTGGTCTGTTACCCATTTTGTTTCATAACTGGCATATGTTCTTTTGAACTTGTTGCAGCCAAAGTGAAACAAGAAGTGGCATCAAAGTGGGCAAAAAGGAACTTCCTGGTCTTTTTTTAAACAAAATTATTTGAACTCTGCCTCTTCTTTGTCTCTTTGATAGACTCAAAATAAATTCAAGAAACAAATTCTTCTCTGCACTTGTCAGCTGTTGTAGCATTGCGTTGTTCCTCTTTGGCATCACTTCCTGTTACTGCTCATGATAATATCTCAACAACTGTTCATCTCAACAATGTGAAGTTTATTTTTGCTAAAGGTTATTAGTGTTATCTTTCCAAAACTGCATTCATATTTATCACAAAAATTTGACGTTACAGCCACTTTAATACTTTACCAGCTGTAGATGGACTTCCAGTAATTCTTCTTCTTTTGAGTGAAAGTTAATTAAAAGTCATCCAGCAGTTTGTGAAATATTATGAAGGTGTAAATAATGGAGCAGAAAAGGCAAAACAATTATTCAAACGTTTTTAAAAGTGAATTTTGTCTCTCTCTGCTGTCCACAGATCGTGACTGCAGCTTCATGCTAAGAAGAAAAATACAACTGTAGCTTTTAAATAAATCAAATATTTCTAGTTATATTGTACAAATGAGATGGACAAAAATGTCAACTAACTAATCAAATAATAAAAACTGCCTGTGTTGATTGTTCAGGTGACATGTGGGGCAGATTCTGGACCAACCTGTACCACCTGTCAGTCCCCTACCCTGACAAGCCTGATATTGACGTGAGCAGCACCATGGTGGAGCAGGTACGAATCCTTTATCTGTCGAATGCTTCAAAACAAGAACCAAAGTGAAGCTTTCTTGACTTTTGTCTTTAACTCTCTGATAAAACTTCAGGACTGGTCCGAACTTCGGCTCTTTAAAGAAGCAGAGAAGTTTTTTATGTCCGTGGGTCTGTACAAGATGTTCAACAACTTCTGGACCAACTCCATGCTTGTGAAGCCCAACGATGGACGCAAGGTGGTGTGTCACCCCACCGCCTGGGACATGGGGAATAGAGAGGACTTCAGGTGGGTCGAGTACACACACACACAGGTTATTGTTTACCAGAACTGTAGATGTAAAGTTGCAGGAATTAATTGTTCACTTCTGCTGATAAAACAATCAAAGTCTGGATTGTAAAACCTCAGAAATAATTTCTCTACAGAGAGTTTCAAAAAACGTTCAATACAAAAGTGAGTTTGTTTAAATATGAGCTTCTATCTCAGTCTGGGTAAATATTACCTGCATTAATGGTCATCATAAAACATTATTTCTCTTGGCGTAGCGTTGGACTCGATGTTTATCAGACCTGTCAGGAACAGCTTATTGTTTTATTGGTGCAGGGTGTCTGATATGAACACACCAAACGTCACCTAACTGCTGACGTTATCCTTCCTGCAGGATAAAAATGTGCACCAAGGTCGACATGGACAACTTCCTCACTGTGCACCATGAGATGGGCCACAACCAGTACCAGATGGCCTACCGGAACCTGTCCTACCTGCTGAGAGATGGGGCCAACGAAGGTTTCCACGAGGCTGTGGGAGAAATCATGTCCCTCTCTGCTGCGACACCAAAACACCTGCAGAGCCTGAGTCTTCTGCCGGCTGACTTTGTCTACGACCATGGTCCGAATAACTCAAACGTGTTTATTTTCTGAAACATTAAATCAACTTTAGTCAGAAGAGTAAAGTCCAGACAGAGATCTGGTTTAACTCGGTCCTTATTTGCAGCTTTTCTTCATCGTTCCTCCCAAAGAAAGTTTTCCAGCAGCTGATCAGAAAAACTGTAAAGTCCCATCAGACGCCATCAAGCCTCCGTCAGAATCAGACATTTTGTGTCAACAAGCAAACAGTTTGTGTCCAATGTGCCTTAAGCTCACTCAACCTGTGGACAACCTGCATCCTGTCCAGTGGACAACCCGCGTCCTGTCCAGTGGACAACCTGCGTCCTGTCCAGTGGACAACCTGCGTCCTGTCCAGTGGACAACCTGCGTCCTGTCCAGTGGACAACCTGCGTCCTGTCCAGTGGACAACCTGCGTCCTTTGTGCACTCATTTCTGCCTGTTTGTTGGCTGGAGTTGTAACCAAGTATGGCAGGTTGTTTTACTAAATAACTGACTCACACTCCCATCCTTGACACATGCTCACTCAATCCATGTCCTGTGGACAGCCTCTGTTCTGACCTGTGGACAGCCTCTGTTCTGACCTGTGGACAGCCTCTGTTCTGACCTGTGGACAGTCTGTGTCCTGACCTGTGGACAGCATGTGTATGTTTTACATCCAGCTGGATCTCCAGTTGCTGGCTGGAGTTGCAGCCAGGTATGGCAGGTTGTTGTACTAAATAATCAAGTCATACTCCCATCTCTCACACAAACACTCACTCCCTTGTGTCCTGTGGATGACCCATGTCCTGTGTATGCTTAGCTTTGACTGTCTGTTGGCTGGAGTTGACAGTATGGCAGGTTGTTGGACTAAATAATTGAATCACACTCCCATCGCTAACACATGCTCACTCAACCCATGTCCTGTGGACAGCCTGTGGCCTGGCCTGTAGACAACCTGTGTCCTGTGAACAACCTGTGTCCTGTCGTTTGGACAATGTGTACGTCTTGCGTCCAGCTGGGTCTCCAGTTCCTGCTCCATTTGCTGGCTGGAGTTAACAAATATGGCAGTTTGTTGGACTAAATAATACAATCACACTAGTGTCTCTACTTACATTTCATATTCCAGTAATAGCAATTATCATGGACACAAAAAGATTATACTGGTCATAATTGAAGTAGCTATGGTGGATTAGCTGTGGCAGCCATCTTGAATCAGACTGACACACACAGGCACTTCCTAGCACACGATCAACGTACTTTCATGACAGTGCGTGATAAACAGCTATTATATAATATGTTTCTGTACCTTTTGATGTGTTCGTATTTGTCACCCACTGCTGAAGGGTGAAGGCAGAGAGATAATTTTTTTTCCTGTTTCTGCCTGTTAGCAAAGTATCTCATGAATCATTGGACTGATGTCTGATTCCTTTAAGGAATATTAGGTCTTTAATTTAACTTCTGAAATTATTTGAAGCTATCTTTCTTTTCTGTAGAAACGGAGATCAACTTCCTGCTGAAGCAGGCGCTGACCATTGTGGCCACGCTGCCCTTCACCTACATGCTGGAGGAGTGGAGGTGGCAGGTGTTCGCAGGTAGCATCTCCAAGGACGAGTGGATGAAGCGCTGGTGGGAGATGAAGTAAGCTGACACACCTGATAAACCTGAACGCCATGTGAGCGTGCACGAGGACTGACTCTGTGGTTTTAACAGGAGGGAGTTGGTGGGAGTAGCAGAACCAGTTCCACGGGACGAAACTTACTGTGACCCCGCCACTCTGTTTCACGTCTCTGGAGACTATTCTTTCATTCGGTAACATTTTTATTTTATTTTTTTGTTTCAGAGCTGCACATTTAGCAAATAAAGCAAGACTTTTATTCTTAAAGTTGATGCTACGAGTTAGATTGATGGCTGTCAATCTTAGTGAAGTTTTTAAAACATCTATTGGTAAAAAGGCTAAAGGTTTATGAGGTAAAAATAAAATAAAAGCTATAACACCCAACGCTATCATTATAATTTACGATGAAAATACATCCTAGCCTCTTTAATCACCTTCAGACAGAAACAGTGTTTTCTTGCTCTGAATGAGCTCAATATTTATTTTTATTACATTTAGTTCGGCTGTCTAATGTTTAAAAGAGGAAAAACACACTATGCAAAATAAAACATTAAAATCAGGATTAGTTTTTTTTTAAATAAATTAAACATCCGAGATACTGACACATCAGTGTGGACTTCCTGTTTTGGTGCAGGTACTTTACAAGGACCATCTACCAGTTTCAATTCCAGAAGGCCCTCTGTGACGCAGCCAATCACAGTGGATCTTTGTCATCATGTGACATCACTGGGTCCAAAGAAGCAGGAACCAAGCTGAGGTACCAACTCCTTCCATCTTTACTCATCCGTTGGAATTTGGGGTGTAACTGTACGCAGGTTTGAACTGGACTGTCACAGTATGGCCCACAGAGAACTGGGCACACAGTTTAAAGCACTCTTCATCAAAACAAAGCAAGAACAATGAATTCAGGCGAAACAGAATAAAAACCTGCTTCCTGTTTGTTTCAATTCTACTGTGTGGAAAAGTTTGTGGAGAGCAGCAGGTGCAAGTATGGAAAGCCAAATGGTCATAAATTTAAGTCTTGAAAGCAAAACATACCAAAATCTATCTGGTTATTTATTTCATATCTCAGACATCATGTTTCTCCCACACTGAGAAGTTGTGAGTGTTAAAAGTTTATTGTATTTATTTTATTTTGCATCGTCTTAGTCATATTTATTATTATTATTTTTAAAGCAACCCTTGATTTTTGTTTACTTAGTGATGGACACTTTGATTCAGTTTAGGTGATTAAAACAATAAAAATTACTTTTTCTATTAAATGTTTTAGTGATAACACAGTTTTGTTTTTCTGTCTTCTGTGAGATTATGACAACAAAAACAACGTATTTAAAAAGTCTTGGAAGGGGGCAATTTTAAATCATTTGCCTGCTTGACACAGGGGGGGGTTAAACAAGAAAATAAAACTAGCATTTAATTTTTTTTTTCTCCCGTGTCTCACATGACTTAAGCACACCGTTACACCCCTGCTACATTTTAATGGTGCTAATAAGTCAGTGTATATTATTGTTATGATCACCGTTCTTTGCTTTATAGAAATATGTTGGAGCTGGGCCGGTCTCAGTCCTGGACCAGAGCTCTGCATACCATATCCGGAGATACCAGAATGGACGCCCGGCCCCTGATGAAGTATTTCCAGAAACTTTATGACTGGTTGAAGGAGGATAACAGGAAACACAACCGGGCTGTAGGCTGGAAGACGGCAGATCCACGTGAGGAAAAACATACTCACTTTGTTTGATGAAGTGAAATGTGAAGATTTATGAACCGTACCACCCTCACATTTATTACAATCCTACCTCTACAAAGAGGACAGAAATGTTCCACATTGATCCCCTTTCAGCACATTTTTTACAATCTGATTTCTTCTGCGTACTTTGTGCTATTTTACACATTCATATTTAAAGATGGAGATATAAATAAAAATAGTCGGGTGTAAAAAAATCTAGTTATGAATTTCTTGTTTCTTGTTGTTTTGCAGCTTCTGATCATTCCATTAAAGTGAGAATAAGTTTGCTTGCAGCCATGGGCGACAGCGCTGTGAGTGTTACATTTTATTCCACCTGAAATAGTAAAAACATGGCAGCACTGTGACGTGAAGTCCAGACTGTGCTGCTGTTTTAAAGCAAACATTAACGTACAATCATGTGTTTCAGTATACCTGGAACGACAATGAGATGTACTTCTTCAAATCAAGCGTAGCTTACGCCATGAGGCAGTTCTACTCCCAGAAGAAGCAGACGCTCCTCTTTACGTCAGTATCTCGCATCATCCTGGAGACATCAGCATAATACCGCAGAAGAAGAACTGATGCTCATTTTATCAACTTGTTTTTAAATATTTTATTATATTTTCTCCATCAGGTCAGAAAATGTCGTCACCTTTAAAGAAACTCCCAGGATCTCCTTCTACATTGCGGTGACCAACCCTCAAACTCCGACTGTTTACATCCCAAAGGCAGATCTGGAGGCGGCCATCAGGTTGTTAAACGTGTCATATTCAACATACAACGGGCTCAGATTATATATCATTCGTATATCATAGACTGATGGCAGGAGACCAGAACTAACCCATGTCCAACATCCTGAATCTGTTTCCAGCTGCAGTGTATCTTTATGTACGCGACAGCCTCTTTATGCAGGCAACAGTCTCTTTATGCAGACGACAGCCTCTTTTTGCAGACGACAGCCTGTTTACGCAGACGACAGCCTGTTTACGCAGACGTCAGCCTGTTTACGCAGACGTCAGCCTGTTTACGCAGACG